AAACAGACTGGCATGGGAGAGCGCCTAGTTGTGCAACAGCCTGGCCGCCAGATGGGACGATAAATACCGCTCCAGAGCTGTCATCTGCCGATGTCCCCAGCTCCTCATCACACGCCCTTGGATGAAAAGTGTTGAGGTGCCGCTGGCTCTGGGATTTGGGAGTAGGGGTCCTGTACCAGCCCGGCTGCCTTTCTGCTCCCTGAGCACACCCATCCCTGCTTCATATATACTCATGGCCGTGAGCGATTGTTCTTCACCTGTAGACCTGAGCACCCACCCATGAAGGTCTGGCTACTGCTGCAGAAGGCAACACCTGTATCTTATCCAGGATGGTCTCTACTTACATTGGAAATGGTGGAGACAAAGAGCATGATGACAGTGGCGATGTGAACCACAAAGATACCAGCCAGTAGCACCAACATCTTGGGTCCCTTGTAGGTGGTGTCTCTGATACAGAGAACTCTGTAGAAGAACAAAAACAGAGAGAGGAGGTGAAGTGAAGGGCTGAATCAATAGCAGTACTCTAAGCTTTATTTACATGCAAGAAAACAGGTTGATCTTAAGTCCAATCTGGAATCACGTAGACACAAAAAAACATCACTAAAACCTGTCAAAACCTGCAAGGGAGTTACTCAGGAGGTTAAAGAAAGCCTGGAGGTAAAGGAACCAGTTTGGGAGGAGATGTAGAGCAGGGGTAGTTAGCTTGGGGGTATTTTAAAAATAGCCTGGGTATATCCACAGGTTGCTTAAATTGGTGTGTGGTTATGTAAAGTAAAAAAGACATACTCCAGGCCTACACTCCAGGAAGAGGAGTTTTTACTCACAGGATTCATAGACGTCAGGAAAGATTTTCTGTTCCTCCTTTCCCTCTCCCAGCACAGCCTCCTCCAGCTGGTCTGGGACAGGGCCAGGTGGTGTGAAGTGGAGGACTCTGTGTTCCTGCATGCATCAGTGTTGAGCAGTGATGGAGAGTGGACTGGGGGACCACCCCTACTCAATGGCCTACTCAATGGCTCCATTATGTGAAGGGGAGAATAACCACAGCAGAAGCACCTCTGAGGCATTCTGGGGCAGGGGAAGATGCTTAGGTTTGCAATTAAAATCACTTATTTCCCTTTTAAAAGTTAAAGCATGCAGATCACTTTATTACTGCAATAAGATTCTCCTGTAATGCAAACTCCTCTTTGGTTTGGTTTGGGTTTGAGGTGGGTTTTTTTGCTTCTGTACCCTGCAAGCTTTTACTTTTTGTAAGATTCCCTGTCATTGATGAACATCTGATTGGAAAGGCAAGGCTTTTGGGACGGGGAATATGTCTCAGATAGCTCTTGCGACAATGTTCATCCAGGCTGCTGGCTTCTCTGAAAATGTGAAATAAAAGAAACAAATCTAAGCTGTGAGAATGAGTCCAGGTCACTCACACAAAGTGAGAGAGTGCACTTCCCCTCCTTCCAGGCATTTATTAGTTATCATGCTGTATAGTGACAGAAATCAGGCAGAAGAGTTTATTGGGTCCCCTCTGTGGTCAGTGAAAGACTGCTTCCTAGGAAGTTTCTCAGGACTTTTGTTGCTTTTTCTCTTGGTAATGCTGGTACTGAAGTGATACTGAAGCACAGTATCAAGCATTTGATTCATGTTTTCTGTCAAGTTATTTTGGTCCAGGTGACTCAGGTAAGGTTTGACGCCATCACCATTTGTACAGGGTGTGGTAACATTGTCATGGAACAATACAATTATACTTTATGATGTCTTTCACGCAAACTGTAACAAAAGGCTTTCTAAAGTCCCATAAATGTGTTTTCTTTTATTCAATGACTTCACCTTCTCCACTCCTGTCTTTCCTGTCATTGTGGCCATGTGTGGGAGTGTATTCCTGTAAAGTGCTGTAGCTATTCCCTGCACTGCTTTGGATACAGTTTTCCAAACCACAGTGGGAAGCCAGGCTTCTCCATCAGTGGCTCTTCGTCTAGTTCAGCATTAGCTGATGACCAGGAGGAAGTCCTTGAGTTCAAGATTTCAAGGAACCAACTCTGTTAGGTCACTCCTCCCACCCAGACAAGGCCACTCCTTAGAAGGACAGTGGTGACAGGAGGTTTGGTGACTCGTCCTATTTCCTCAGCAAGAACTTGTCTGCTCTGAGGTTTTCTTCACATAGAAGAGCTCTTTGGAATTGTTTAGCCCTGGCTTGCTGAACATGGGCCAGGCTTGCTTGTCTGCTTTGGGGTATCCTAGCAAACTCTTCATGCTCTAGGGCTTGATTTGCCTTATCTCTGTGCTCTCTGTTTTCACAGTACCTCCCTTAGTGATGATCTTGGGGAAAGTGCAGCCTTTTTGGGAGTTTCTTTCTGACTGCAGTGACAGTCATTTATGAGTTCAGCATTGCCAAAATCTAGATTCTCAATACTATATGCAGGCTCCCACATGAACACACCTGATTTGCGCATTAAACCCCTATTTACTGCAAAAGGAACGAAGGTTTCAAAACGCTGTATGCCAACTGATGCGGACATCACCACTGTACGTTGAGCTGAGAAACTATTGCTGTTGCTATGACTAAGCTATGTATCTGCAGCAGGTGGCTTGAAAAGAGCCTCTGAGTCAAATCTTTGCATCCCTTTGGCTACTTGTCATCCTTTTATCTGTTTAACTTGGGTTTTACGCAAACTGCAGTGAGTGCTCTTGCCACCATAGTGCATTGTTGTGCATACACCAAATTGTGGCAAGTTTGCCTACCATGAAATTTGCCTTTACTGAACAGTGGCTAAACGTTCTTCTTTCTTAGATGAACATATTTTTCCATGGTCTCCTTAAAAATTAATTCAGCAGGGGTTTTTTTGCTGGTTATTTTTGAGGGCCTTCAAAAAAGCCCTGTACTTGAAAGACTAAAAACCTACTTTCACGACACCTTAAAGGACTAGAACAGTCCTTTCAAATGCATCTTCTGTTCGGGTTCAAAAATGAAAATGAGGGATAAATGTTACTTTTCAATGTAAAATAAAAAACCCAGACACAGATCTTGACCAATATGCTAAGAAAAATCCCAAATCCTTTATTCTCTTTGCTTTTTCTGCCCATTCTTGCGCTGCGCTTTCAGTGGACCGACTTCCTGAGGACGTCAGCACCTCTCCCTGAATACACAGGCTATCAAATGCAAACTCCCCCGGGCTATGTGCTCACAGCTTAGTTTTGATTCTTTGTGAGTTAAAGCACCAGCCGCCCTCTCTATTCATTCGCTTTCCCCTTTCTTCATCTCTCCCTGCCTTTTAAATAAAACACTAGAGAACAATCCTAAAGGAGCACTGGGTGAACCAGCAGCATTGACATAGAGTCATCTCTGTCTCTGGTGGTGTAGCATGGACTTTTGCTCCCATTAGACAGAGAAGCTGCCAGAGCATTGCTGACTGACAGGACACTCTTTACATTTGTTAAGTGTGAGACATCTTTCTCTGCTACAGGGTGGGGTCGCATTTCTGGAGCAATAGGACACAGTTGCATGCAAATGCCTTTTCTTCCATTCCCCTACCTAAACTGCAGCTGGATTTGGAGCTACTCGGGCTCTTCTTGGGCTATGAGTCAGTCTTAGCCTTCCTAGAGCTGCCAGTTTTTCCACTGACTCACCCCAAAGCTCTCAAAAGCACATTTATTTAACCCTTCAAGTGTTCAGGACACACTGTCAGTTTTAGGACTGCTTCTCAAGAACTAGTCAGGAAACCAGGTTGTGAATCTTGCATTGAGCCTCCTGGCACCTCTTCCCAAGGAAAGACCCCAGCTAAGCCAAGAAAAACATGACTGGACATGGGAGTAAAATGACTACTGAAGTAGGACAAGCTAATGAGGAAGCAGGAGTCAAGGTCATGC